TCCCTCAAAAACGTTTTTATATTCATTCGGACACTCATTCATTTGCTTACTAATCATGTTTACTACGTTTATTTAATTCGAAACCTAAATGAGTTTTAGTTCTAGATAAGTTTTCGCTAACAGCGATGTCTCCAACTCCTTGACAATGCTCTGGAATTGGTCCTGTGTATCGTTCGTGTTGATATTGACTTTTGCTGATCCTGTGGTCATCAACCGTAACTAATTGTACATTTTGAAGACTATTCGTTTATGGTAGGTAATATACAGTTCTCCTAGCTTGCTTTTCATGTTTCAGTACGTATAAAAGCTTATGATATTACACCTCAGCTCTGCATAGAGTAAACTCAAGACTTGTCCTGCTTTCCACCAATGCGTGAAATCGTGTGCATTTACGCTATGGTTGCACGAACTTACATTTAGATTTACGGTTTAATATATCGGTCTGGAAGCAGTTGTCGGTGTCACATTTTTTAGAAGCTTCTTCTTTTCCACACACTTCGGATGTCTAGCCGATAGCTGGATACTTTCTTTGTAAATATTGGCTCCTACATTTTCGGGACCATTTTCAGTGCCGATATCTTGCGTATCACGTCCTCATTGGCATCCCCATTGGCATTTTTATTTGTCCTCACGATGAATACCTCGTCCCATTGTTAATTGTCCTGTTTTGTCCAATTGGCCAAGCGGTCGCTCTCATTGCTTATTAGTCATAATCTAGCTAATCTTTTATCGTCATTTACGTTTCTTTTGGGTGAGGGTACGCCTGTGCCGTGTTCACTGAGCACAGTCTTTGTTACCACTTTATTATCTTGGGTTACTGTTTAGTGCTCTCTTAGTTCAACTTACCAATATGAAACTGGGCCATATTAATCTATGATGATTATCTACTCAGGTAAGGGCTACAAGAGATCTAAGCAATGACTGATCGTCGTTGATTTATAGTATATGGACTTCTCTTTTCTGGCTATTTCTGGGCATATGAGTATTAATCACGTTTTCAAACCTTATGGGTTACTTTTTTACTTTCTTCGAGAATATAATTTTTCGTCCCTACATTAAAAAATTATGAAATAAAAAAAGTAGCATAGCTAAAAAGGGGTAACTCCCGTGGAAGCAAAATCTGAGTGCTAAGACAATTGCGAAATAAAAAATGGACAATCAGGCCTTTTCTACGCTTGAAGCATGTTATGCATAGGTATCGTGCGGCTATTGAAAACGATGAAGCCGGATCTGAAGTATATGAGAGCAATCAAAATATTAAATATAATATATTTAGAATATTATAATTTGAATTGTGTAATGATTCGATGAATAAGATCAATGTACTTAAAATCTACGATTAAACCTCATGCTTGTAGCTCCGTTTTGTGTCGCCTACAAAGTAAACGGCTTGTCACTTTTTATCACAAAAACAAAATATTGATGCTAAGATAGTTATAATTATAAAGTTAGTGAGCATTACTAGCGTTGTTATTTAGTATCTCCACATATAATTCAGCAATTGTCAAGCAGTTGGGTGTTTTTTGCTCATTATTGTAGGCTCTATGTCCTCTATGTCACCTATCTTGAAAGAACACGATTACGCTTTAACTTCCCAAAAACAATACAATTTGGTTGACTTTAATAAAACAAAATACGAAAAACTGCACTGTGGTAAAGACTATAACCCATATCTATAATATAAGGTATACGGCAATTTTTAAAGTGCTCAGCCGCCAGCTACCCTGAAATTTGACTTTTACGGAAATTAAAACCTCATTCGCCCAGTTTTCCTTTGAAAAGACGGCGAAATGATAAGCTTTTGTCTACTACATAGGCAGTGGGAACACCATATTTATAATTAAGCAGGCTTGGGCAGCTAAAACGGTTAGAATTTGGAAATAAGTAGGTTTACAAAAACGGTATGAAGTTAATGATAACCCGCATGTATTGATTCTACGATGGAAAATATATATTATACAAATGGTGAAAAATGCCTTACTGTTATTGACTTATTTAGTGCACTTTAAAACATTTATATTTTACTGTGTAGGAGTTGCAGTTAAGATAATACATACGAATGCATGCAGAGTCAACTCTAATTTTTGTTTTAATTTACGCCAAATATCTGGCATCTCAAGTGCACCCCTAATTCTGTTTGCAAGGACTGCATAGTGGTATTAAGAAAAGAAGAAAGACAAACTTTTTAAGAACCACTGCTGTTCTTTATATCCATAAAGCGACCAGAGACAACCGACTAAACACCATGTTATAAGGACAGAACCATCTAACGCAATCCATGGATCAAGATACTCTATTAGGAGATGTTAACACACCTCTCGCTTTTAAATTGGCTTTAGTAGCCATACGGAGAAATTTCAGTTGTAGTCGACGAAATAGATGCTTCCTTGGCTAAATTTCCCGGTAAAACGGTTGTGAAAACTATCGTGTGAAAAGTACATTTTAGAAATTAATTTCTGCAACGGTTTTCTGTACATTAACAATAGTTGATTTGCTGATGTCCCTCTTTGCCTCAGTTTGCTTCCACTGAAAACTGCCTTAATGTTTTGGAGGTTTACATACATTTTACTACTTGACGTATTTTCTTTCATATCGGTGGCTGCATCACCAATCGAAACTACATTCAGGATTACATCTCACAATCAGGGCAAATGGATATCATGCTACATCGGTGTTCGAATTTGATTACAATTTAGGTGACGTACCTTTTAACGCTTAGGCTACTCAGGGAGGAAAAAGTCAGTGCATACATAAATTTACGATGCAAATAACTGATTCTTTATAGTTTTACAATTTTATGCGTTTGCATTGCGAGCACCTTTGATTGTTCTGTTTGTATTGAAGCAGTTGAAAATGAGAGTTAGCAAAAAAAGCACAATACTTAGTACTACATCAAATTTCCAGTGGCTTTGAGGGCAGGCTCATTTTTTGAAATAATAACGTAACAACGTAGATAGCGATTTGTTCATGGCTGTGGTTATAGGATACAGTCTATTATTTTAACAGTTGGTAGATATACATTATATATGCTATGGGTTATTCTCGTAGTGGAGGTTTTTCAGACCTATCTTCAAGAAAATAGCATAATACTGATACATAAATTTCTGTACATAACGGCTTTTATTAAATCTTTGATTCGGTTTTATGATTTTATAAAATTTCGTGTGTTGTCTAGAACGGCTGTAACTCAATGTCACGCCAAGGAGTTCATTTTTGCGTTTCGTATTAGATGGCGTAGAATTTTATAATAGCTGAGCAGAACATAACCAATTATTGTAAAGTTGTTGACGACTCTCACTTGAAATTATCTTCTGGTAACCCATTGTGATTTGTTGGGCTATCTGACCCAAGTTGTTGTTTTCTTGAATGGAGCAGATGATAGCGTCTTTGCTACGTATTTAAAAACCTCTAGTTCATTTCTACTTCATTTAAATAGCATTTCTGTCCAATTTAAATAAACGAACTATGTATTTCAAATTTTGTGAATATTTTCTATTCATATCGTGATAAATGCATTGTTTCTCCTGGACTTTCAATAGTTTGTTTCTTGCTGAATCTGTAGTTTAAAGTTCTAGACATTTGAACGCGTATATCTAATTGACATATTAGTTAGGAGTTTTCATTCTATAATGACCGGAATTTAAGAAACAGTTCAACGCGTGCACCGATAAGTAGCTTTAAAAATTTCGAACTTTTGGCTTCTTATTAATACCAATATCACATTTTTTAATGAAAATAGTAAATATAACGCTAAAAACCTGTTAATCAATACAAAAATTTCTTTGTGTCAACAAGGCAACCCAATGAGACTCTGTATACTTTAGTTTTAGTAATAACGTACGGGTAGCTTTCCTAGGTTACAGTGTTAAGCGTCGTCAGTTTGTTACTTTCATGTCAGCTACGAGATTCGGAGAAAACAGGCGTCAGAACCTTAATACATGTCAGCCAATTTAGGGAGTTGGCAGACATTTAACAATGACATAAAATTTCCTTTGACATGTTTATCAATAACATATTAAATAATAACTCTTCCGTTGCCCATTATGTTAAAGCTTTCACATTTTCCGATTTCGTATATTTTTGTGCGGACAACCTAGCTCCGCTTTAGTTAGAACTGAGAGAATCGACATGTATATGAGGAACAGAAAATAGATTCAATGCATTTTGTTATTCATGGAGCTTTTAGTAGAGTTAAATTCCATTTTAAACTGGGTTTAGCAAATCCTATCTTGTAGTTCCTGCATTAACAACATCTATTGAAATAATGCATTCTATTTTTTGGCTGACTTTACTGTACTTTTATGTGCAACCTTTTTTTTTTTTGATGTACTTGTGTTGCGAATCTTCTGACACATTGTGAGACCATCAAAAGCATTAAGTGGTTTCTAAATGCATGCTTAACTAAGAAGTGTATTTTTTTGTAATAAAAAGAGCAGTTAGTTTCGTTTAGAAATAAGTTTGCTTATGTTTGCTTTTTTCTGCTGCGGTATGCTTATGTCACAATTTTCTGGGAGATACTGTGTCAAATCACTGAGGGTATCGAAATGATTCAAAAGACATATATAACCTTAAATTTATAAAAAAAAAATAAACAATTCAAGTTGTTTTATCCTTCATGTATGCACGTGTCGGCACGTATGCTCCAAGGAATATTCATTTTCTAGGGACACAATTCCATATTCCAGTCTGTCTGTTTATGAATTACTCAGTGTGTAATGGTGCATTTTAGTTGTATGCAGCACTTATCTGACGCCCGTTGGTACTCTGAACCTACGTTCTCTATACTTGTAGACTTCCTCTTCTTCTAACTATCAATCTGGTTCTCCCCATCTATGTATACGTATTCATTAGAACAGGGCTCTTAAAATTTGAGTAAATATAACGAATACTGAGATTAAATAAACATATTTTGTTGAAAAAAACATTAGCTCGAGTCATAGTTTTCATAGAATATCTCAATGTGAATTTTAAATTAAATGTAAGTTAAACTCCATTGCCAGATTTGTACAGGTTGCATGGCCTTTAGCAACGCATCGGGATCGGCGTTCTTCAGGTCTGAGTCTTCGAGCCGGAGCTGCCATATCTCTCTTAATAGGCTGGATGGTTTCGTTAGCAATCGCCGTGGTGCCTCTAACTAGCCATGGTCCCCCTTCGTTCACCTTCGATCCTACTTCACTTCATTGTTGGCACGATTTGCGAGATCGACAACCTGCTTCACGCAGCTATGTCATTAGCGCTCTTGTGCTGGGCGTCGTCTTTCCCACAGCAGGTGAGTGGATACATGATCAGGTTAGTACGGTAAATTGAATAATAATATCTTTATTCAAACATAAAGGAGTATGTAACGCAATACAATACCGACTTTTGGTCTAATTGTAGAACCGCAGCTTTCAAAACGCTTATTTGTTTTTTTTTGTTTGAAAACGGTGATGAATAAAGTGTTGCATTGCACAAAAATTTAGCATCATAATTATTGCATTGTTATAACATCATCATAACCATTAATATCCTATAAGATATTTACACCTTTTTTCACATAATTATCCAACTATTATGGCTTTTAGCCTAAATATGACCTAAACGACGTTCGGCTCGTCTGCCAGATCAGTATTATGCTTACCCGAATACCAGAATGAGTGTCAAGGAAAGTAGCAATGGCAATGTAAGAGTTGCTAAATGCCTGTCAAGCCCATTCACAAGAGCTTAAGGATACTGGAGCTGATGCCTGAGTTAAAATCAAGCACAGATGGTACAGTCATTTTATATTTCGCTCTGCTACAAGATTCACCAGTAAATTTCTATGTCTTCAAAGTAACGCCTTGCCAAACGTATACCTAGCGAGCTTCAGAGCCTTTTTGTATCTCCAGAGATCACTGTAATAAGTTGTCTTGGATTAATGTGTGCGTACTTTCATATCAATTGGCTGACATCGCATCGTAGAAGAAAAGAATTCAAGTTTGTTTGAATTAGAGTCTTCTCACTCTCAGTTCCTCGATTCTCAGTTGCTACGAAAAATCTATCATACTCATAAGAATGCTAATTAAGGAATCCATAGAGGGCTTGTTATCTAGCCGAACAAAAACAGGCTTTTCACGAGGTCTGCTCGAAAGAAATGAAGAATTCTTCTCCTGACATAACAATACTGGAGTAATCGTAATAAAAAAGCAGAGACCACGCGTAAACATCTGTCGCGCTTTCTTACTGGCAACTAATTTTGTCAGTAATGTAGCAGTAGTCTCTGAGGAAAAAATACTATATATTCTTTATAAGGAATCCTACCAAAGAGATCCACGGCCAAGTCACTTTGTAGAAAACAAGAAAGAGTTGAACTTCCACAAACAACTTCATCAAGAACATTAAGCGCGTTGCCCATGAATGCAATGGCTAAAAAGTAAAAGCCAACAATGTACCCCTCAAAATCAGGACTTTTCTTTGCTTGAAAATCAACTACCTGAACATACCATAACAACTGTTTTTTGTCAATGACAAATAACTACTGCACAGTTTGGGAACAAAAGTCCCACGTCGTGCTGAGACACAAAAATAACAAAAAAAAATGAATCTAAAGATACTATTCCTACTAATTAACGTTTTTCAACCACGTCTATAGGATTTGCTTTGGATATTCTGCGTATGGTGTGAACAGCTTGCTTCTTGGGAAACCGTTATATGGGAGGCAAGTTAATTTGGCATCGGAACATAATCATCCTGAAAATTACCTCTGATAACTTTCCCATAACGAAGAAGAGCACACTAGTTTAGATAAAAAAATAACTATATCAATTAACATTACTACAAATAAGAAGGTTGTAGACATTCTCACCGCAAACAGCAGCTTATGCGAGTAACATTTACCTAGGTATAATATAATCAATATTCGCTGCACGCATCTTCATATTCAGCCGCGCTACCGAATTACGTTTTTTTAACGTAACTGTGTGTTTTTTGCGCTCACTGTCAGTCAACGCTGAGTGGTGCCACTCTACTCACGATAATAAATGACGTGGTAGCGCACTCGCAATTTCTTGAAGGCCCTTTTTACAATCTCGGTGTTTACCGTAGTCACTCCGTAAACGAACGTAAAGGCAGACCCCGGCAAAACGTTTAAGCGGAGTGGAGGTTCAGAGTAATATCCTAAGGTGCCCCCTTCCCTGTAAGTGAAGCACGTGGGGACATACGTTGAATCATTTCTCCATCCAAAACTGTGTCCACCTGTACCCAAAATTTGGACCTGTTTTCGTCTGGTGCGTCTGGTGGTGGGTTTGGTATGCCCAAGCAAGCCTTGAAAGCACCTGAAAGTCGGTAAGAACGACTATAGTAACATGGTTGGCGAAAGTACTACTCCGCCCTACTTTCTTGGTGTCCTTTAGAAAAGTTACAACGATATACGGTAGCTCCAGTTGATTTGTCACAGTGATACGAGAAAATCCATGAGGCTTTGAGGGTGGTACCTGCTTTAGCTATGTTCTTGTTGCCTGTGTCGAGGTGCCTCCGAGACTTGATCGATCCTAGTCGTCGTTCAGCGTTCTCGTCCATACCTACAGCGCCCGATTCATTCGACTTCTACGAAGCGCTACAAACAGCAATGCTGGAACTGGTTCATTGCAATAGCTCCACAGACTAATCCGGTCGCTTAGTAAATAACATATTTGCCTGCTAATTTTAGGAACACGTTGTGGTGTAGGCTCGAATTCGGGCATACATACACTTTGTTCAGCGTTGGGAACTAGCCGTCTGATGGAATGGCTAACGACGATGCCGAACATGAAACTCGAAACAGGGATACTAATCCGGGCTAAATCTATGTGGGAGTGCGTATATAATAATAATAACAATAATGCAGTACAGCCATACGGTTTATTACTCTTCCTGTCATTCCCTGATTTTCTTCTATTGGATACCTCGGAAAGAGCCTCCCCAAGTCATGCTAGCACAAAAGCCACTTAATACCTATTGTTTGATATGCCTAAGATACCCGTAGGGCTAAAAGTCTTTGCGTTTCAAAGATGTTTTTTACACAATGTTTCAGACGCAGTGGGTTTTGTTTATAGGAGAACCCCGATAATCATGGTAATCAAATCAGGGCTAAGGTTAGGCGGTGATAAACACTTATCTTAGCGACAAACCATGAGTTGAGTTATACTTATTTAAGGTACTGACAATCACTGCAGGCATTAACTCGGTCGAACTGGGAGGCACGTTAAATAAAACTATAAGCCATGGCATAGCACTGAGTATACAATATAATCAGTAAGAAAAATCAGGAGAAGATGATTAGTTCTATGAATCATTTTGAGTGTTAACGACGAAGACCAGAATTAAATCTTTTGCAGATTTTTGATCATAATGCAGTGGTCAATCTATATATATAGCACATTTGCAGGGTAACTATCTAGAAATTTGCCTTAGAGTATATATATGATCAAACTTCTTTTTCAGAATTTAGGTAATTTTGTATATAACTAATCTTCTCTATGTATGCCGTGATACAAAGCTTACAGTTTGCCTTGCCTGTTAAATGCTAGAATTAGCATGTATAACTGCGGCAGCGATAAGATAGACGACAGCGTACGCAGCTTGGTTGATATTTCTGAATGAAGTTTAGACAGAAGGTAATCTCAGGTTCAATGGCAATGAAAACATATAGAAGCTGAAGCGGTACATAAAAAGGAGGAAGCCTTTGGTATTTCGGTTCTAGATTCCGCATAGCGGGGACTTAGAGATAAACCTGCTAAGCATTTCTCGGGGGAAGAGCTTGGGTCGCCTAAGCAGTTTTTGAACCTCGTTACAAGCAACGAACGTTTGAGACGTCCATGCAGACCAAGCGAGAATTGCTAGACGAGGTGAACCTAAAATTCGACTTCGTTGTCGCCAAACTTCGTCCCGCATCGTGTGTCCTTACCCAAAGTATGATGGGCGATACAGGCCTTGATTCGCACATTCTCACTGAACAACTCAACACTAAAAAAAAGTAACTAAGTAAACAAAACAATTTATTTCTTAGCATGATGAAGTGTACAGCAGGTATCAAAGATCTGTAAAAAAGATTAGCCACATTTTAGAGCACAGCGCCCGCAGACAAATTTTATGTCGACGTCAATTACTCCAACCGCACGTTATGTCAACTATATTTCGTAAACAATTTGTAATCTCTTTTCACAGCAGCGATAACAACATATCAAATTTCGAGCTTCTGATGGTTGCCAGTGATGAGAGAGGTTTTATCTATATGTACCAAGGACACACTACGGGGGCTATGGTTAGTGTTTCCACGGCAAACCAAACTCAAATTTTCCTAATAATTATTTAGCTGCCTTTCCAATATTGATCAATTAAAAACGCAGTATATAATCCAGCTTCGAGCTCGGGAACATTTTGGCAACTGCGATATCCGCTACCGGATAAACAACGGGTGTAGGCTGGCTAGTACGCCCAAAGGAGAGCGCGATTTTAGTGGGCATAAGCTCCGAAAATCACAATATTGCCAGTAACATTTAAAGTGTCATAGTCTCCTTGAGAAGAATGCTGCAGACAAAGGAAAAAATATTCAGCAGTTCCTTAGGGAGAATTTGTTGATGATTAGTTGGATCTTTGTAAAAGCAGCTTGGCCTATTCGTCTTTGTTACTCCGAGGTATTTGTCGGAATGTGCCATCAAGAGAATCGTTGCAGCCACGCAGAACTTGAAACTAAAGAAACTGATTGTCGAGTGGAATGAAGTGAATCTAGATCATTGCATAAATAAATGGTTCATAATATTTAGGATACAAAACATGACAAAGCCAGTTTTGATAAAACCCACGGATTGCTACGCTAGAATTGTTTCCTGTAGTCGTCGTGACGCGCTGTATATATATCATAGCCTTTTTGACAATTTTTAGGTAGGAGGCACTTTACTGTAATAAACACTTCAATCAGTGAAAAAAAATGTTGACGTTATATCAACATATAAAACGTTTATGGCTCTACCATCGACATTATTAAACTGAACAATTAGTTTTTTACTTAATTTCTAATGACCATAGCAGTTGCGTAGCCTAACGCTATTGGCAACTTCACTGTGCGTTTGAAAATGGTTTCATCTCATACGGCATGATATTCAAAGACTGGGATACGATTCTTCAGCCAAGCATACTGTTTTCCGTCAATAGACAGACATTCTCCGCTTTAATTACTTTTCGCTTGCCCTTGTTCTTAATTTGTTGATTGTAGTTGCATGATATATTCCAGATACCAAGAGTATTTAGATAATTTTGAGGCAGTTCGTACAC